TTCTCGTTAATACCATCAGAAAAATACTCTTGTTAGTGGGAAACAAAAACTGGAGTGCTCTCTCTCCTCAGACTAATTCCTTACCAAAGCAAAGCTTCTTCGATCTTCCTCGTCTTGTTGTCGTGTCTCAACGTAAGTTTTCTCTTATGTCTTGATCGAAATTAAATTAAACCCTAATTCTTCTTGCCTTTTAGATTATGAATCGAAATTTTGTCAAAACCCAATTTCACGGAAATCGTTTCAATTTTTGAGTAGAAACCCTAATTGGAGATTGTTCAATTTAGATGCTTTAAGCTATGTCTTGTACTGAACTTATAGATTCTCTGATTCTCTTTTGCGTTTTTGGGTTTTGTCTGTTGAAGAAATGTCTGGCGATGATGAGGTTTCTTATGGCTCTGGAGATGAAGTAAACGTCATTGATGGGCACAACAAGCGTGCAACACCTTCTAGTGGTGCTGGTGCTGGGCCAACCCGTAAGAGAAGTCGAAAGGCTTGCGGTGATTCGATTGTCGAAGCAATGCTTGAAATTGCAGCTGCTTCCAAAATGAGAGCTGCTGCTTTGACTAAGAATGGTGATAGATTCTCTATCAGCAAATGCATCAAAACATTGGACGACTTACAAGGTGTTGATCAACATACCTACTTTCTTGCGTTGGATTTGTTTGAGAACCCGACTTCCCGAGAAATTTTCATTTCTTTGAAAAATGAGAAACGATACAAATGGCTACAGGGAAAGTGTAGAAGAGCTGAGTAGTAGTTAGTTTCTTCTTCTCTGTATGTTATAGTTTTGAAAAATAAATTGACCTTTTTCGCTCTGTATGTTCTCGATACTTTTGGTGGAATGATATCGTTTTGATTTAGTGAGCTTCGTCATTTACTTATGTATGAAGATTGTCACTTATAGAATTTTTGATGATAATGACGTTATGGAAATTACTCTGTTATCTTTGGCTCTACTTTCAGATTCGTCAACTAGTAGCTTCGATTTTGACATAGAATTGGATGAGATGGAATTAGTTGCTGCAGCTGCTGGTTACATGTACTACCACAGTCGAGTAAATCAACCTCAGCGTCATTCGTCTCCTGTGATATGTACATATCTGAAAGATTTGCTAGAAGGCCCTGTGGAAGATTTCAGGGAACAGCTTCGGATGGATAAACATGTGTTTCATAAATTATCTGAAATCCTTCGCGGTAAAGGCCTGCTGCGAGATACTCCCACTGTTTTAGTAGAAGAGCAGGTTGCTATATTCTTATGCATCATCGGTCATAATGAGCGAGTCAGGGTTATTCATGAGAGGTTCCAGCGTTCTTGTGAGACCATTAGCCGGCATTTCAGCAATGTGCTCAAGGCAGTTAGGTCGTTGTCACGCGAGTTCCTTCAGCCACCACCTCTGGAAACACCTATAGAGATTGTCAATAGCAAAAGGCTTTATCCGTATTTCAAGGTAAAGAAAGAATCTATCGTTACTGAGTTATTGTGATGCAATGTTCTTGATTTTCTTTGTTTATACCCTTCCCTCAGGATTGTATTGGAGTTATAGACGGCTTGCAGATTCCTGCTAACCTTCCTACAAAAGACCAGTCTCGGTTTCAGAACAAGAATGGCGTACTTACGCAGAATCTGCTTGCAGCTTGCACTTTTGATTTGCAGTTTATATTTGTCTCCGCGGGATGGGAAGGCTCTGTTGAGGATTCACGCATCTTAAGAGCGGTCCTGGACGATCCGAACCAGAATTTCCCTCAAGCTCCCAAAGGTTTTAACCTTCTTCTACATTTAGTTTATCCCTTGAGATTTATACAAGTTCCATTTCAATAAAATGACATCCCTTTTTTCCAAGGGAAATACTATCTTGTTGATAGAGACTACAGAAACACAGAAGGATTCGTCGCTCCATACCCGAGAACTAGGTACCGTCTCCACGAGTTCCGTGGCGCAAGGCAGATGCCGCAGAACGCGCATGATCTTTTCAATCACCGGCACTTGTGTCTAAGCAACGTCATTCAACGATCATTCAGCATTCTGAAAACCCGGTTTCCAATCCTGAAATCCGCGCCTCCATACCCGTTTAATGTCCAGAGGGATCTGGTGATTGCAACTTGTGCGCTGCATAACTTCATTAAAAGGGAAGACGGCATCCATGACTGGCTCTTTGCCGCTGCTGCTGAAGATCATGGTCCGGTGGAGGAATCACATGGACAAGAGGAAGACGAACTAGAGTTGCTGCACTTGGATTTAACGCCTATGGACCTTGCTGCTGATTCACAACGAGACTCCACTGCATTTACAATGTGGGATGATTTCATGAACAAATGGGAAGAATGGTAATTAGTGTAAACTAAGTGGAATCCTTCGGTTGCATTGTTGACTAATCTATAGGTGATTCTCTAGAAGGGCATTTGGTAATTACATGAATACTCCAACGAGTTTTTTTTTGTGGTGTTGGACTACAAATTCTGGCTGTAAGAACAGATTTGGGCTAAGTTGAATGTAGGAATGGTTGAGAATAATATCCCAAAATGATTTTTAAAACTTCACTTGAAAGTGGTAGAGTGAATACTTATACCACCATTGGACAAAGCTCCCAAAGTTATCAATCCAAATACACTTGTTGATCCACTAGGGAGAGTTAGTTAGCAAACACATTTTCAGACAAAAAATTTCTCATAATCTCATTACATAAAGAGGTAGCGAGGTTTCAAGCATATTGCAAGTTTAAGTTACAACTTGGAAAACAAAAGAGAAAGCGAAAAATACACAGTAAAACCTATGTGATAATTTATTAATCGATCACCAGA